TCTTGTAATCCATAAAGTAAGGGAGTTCTTCCTAAAGCCAACAAGATGCAAGAAGCAGGATATGAGGGCTTGTAGCCATAAGTCTGGCTTCAAAGTACAACATTTTTAGCTCAGACTGCAACTTGAAAAGTTATTAACAATCTTTCAATTCTTTCCTAGTTATATCTTTCTTCAACGATATCCTAAGGACATTTCCAAAAATTTTGTACTACTGAAGTATCATTTCCTATATTAAAACTTTCCAGAAACAAATATTAATAACAGCTTTTTGCTCTTCTATTATTGAATGGCTTTGGGGAGAGGGTGTTCAGAAACCACCTATTTTTAAAAAGCCTTGAGCCTCTCTTTATATTAAATATTAAATATTGAACATTGGAATTTTCCTTCAAAGTTAAAGATCAGAATGATCTGAAGCCTTCTACCTAATGATCCTTTAGATTTTTTTTTTTTTTTTTTGGTACCAGGGATTGAACTCAGGTTCTTGTGCTTGCAAGGCAGGCCACCAAACCACTGAGCTAAATCGCCGGCCCCAATCCTTTAGATTTTTAACAAAGTATTCTTGATAAAAAGATGGCCAGAAAAAAATAATGTAGATATCAAGTCAGTTCCTTTTTTCATGCTTAAAGGTATTTCATTCCTAGTAATACTAGAAAACACCCTTAAAAGATTAGTATGAACATGAGTAAAGTAAACTGAGGTAAAACTTACCAAAGAGTAATAGTCACACTAATATTGCTAGCATGTGCAAAGTAGTTACTCTGTACCAGGGACTTTACTTATGTTCTACATTCCTTACAACAGTTATTCAAGAAAGGCTTTTCATAATGAGGAATCTCAGGCTTACAAATCCAAAGCCTGCCTTCTGCCCTTTACATTTTTACACTGTGCGGTCTTTTATGCAGAGGGTGGACCAAGTGGAGATAATACCACCTTTCTATCGTTTTGAAGGAAATTATGTGGAGAAACCCTCTAAAAACACAGGGTTTCACAGAAGCCCAGAAAACTTGAAAGATAGAAAACACCAAGTACGGCAAGGATATGGGACAAACAGAATTTTCCCATACTGCTGGTGGGAGGATACATTGATAATAATCATGGAGAATCATTTGTCTATTAACACTAGAATGGATAAACACATTGCAGTAATACTGTTAAGTCAAGAGAATGAGTGGTTTACATGCAATAAAATATAAAATGTTACAGAAAGAAACAAGAAACCAGAGTACCAATTATGTGACTCCATTTCCACAAATGAATCTCTAATGTTAGAAGTCAGGATAGTTGTTCCATTGTTGTGGGATAGAGATAAGAAAGAAGCACAAATGGGATTGGTGGGGCACTGGAAACGTTCTTTCTTCATCTAGGTATATTCCATTTGTAATACTTTATTAAGTTGTATGTTTACAATTTGTTTACTTTTCTGTTGTATATATTTCAGGAAAAAAAGCTAAGAACAATAAGAAAACTTACAAGTTTCCATAAAATGGTAATTCCCTGGATAACCTATCTGCCAACTTTTGCAGCAATGCTAGTCACTGTGCTAGATGTCAAATAGAACAGCAAAGCATCAGTATCTCCTTTCCAAAAAAGAATGAAGGTCAAGGAAGAAGAGTTTAATAAATAGAAGAGCCTATTTTTAAGGGATGAGCAATCAAGAAAGAACATCTCATTTGCAATTTATAATTACTTTCAAATCCCTATACAGAATGCAACCTATTAACACAACTTTTTAAAAATAAAGTTTATTAAACTATGAGTTGTTCTAGTTATTTGCCCAAATTTACAAAGAATGAAGGAAGAAACATTAGGCTGCCCAAGGGTCTTTTACATTAGTTCTTTCTCAAGGACACTAATTTGAGTCTGAAGTCTATGTGTCTAAAACATACAGGACAGGGTCCTCAAGGAACAATTTCAAGACAAAAGACTTAGGCATCTGCTTATCTGGGAACTAATTTACTAGAATAACTTTTTTAAATCAGGAGAAAATTTGTAGATTCTAGATATATGAAGTTACTTGCAGGTACTCCAAAATGCCAACCCACCCATCCCTGACCCAGATTTCAACAGAGCAATAATCTACAAGACAAGAGTCCTTGGCCTCATTAGCCTCAGTTTTCCTATCTCAGTACACAAAAGAATACTAGCTGCCCATGACCAAGTTCTAGGAAAAAGACTTATGAAGAAGCATTGGTAATACTTCTAAAAAATGTTTAAGATTATCATGTTTGTAGTATTACCATTTTTAATTTCTACCCCCAAATACCTGAGACTACCTCTTAAAGGATAACAGTAAGGATTTACCACTATAGGCCAGGTCCCACTGATTTGCTCTGGTAATGCCATTTTACCAGTGAAGAACCTGAAGGTCTGCAGGGTTAAATAACTTGGATAAGGCCTCAGAACTGGAGCTAGAGTTTGAAGTCCAAGGCTTCCCCCCACCCCGAGGATGGTAAAGGTATGGAGGCACAAGGGCGGACATTACTGATAAAAGCAAGATACTCTTTCCTGCTGGTCCTAGATACAGCCTCAAAATCCCTCAAAGGGCAGATCCTCAGGATACAAAGAGGGGAAAAAAGAAAGATGCAAAACAGTACACATAGCTAACTTTGTGAAAGAAGACGCGGGGACATATTGTCTCATATACTTTTATTTATATAAAATGTTAGAAACAATATAAGAAAGTAATAATAACTGGGCTGGTAGAGTGCTTACCCAGCATGTATGAAAGCCTAATTTGATCACCAGCTCCCCCTCATACACAAAAAAGCATAATAGTGATCACTGTAGAAGAGACAAAGAGGCAAAGGAATGGGATATTTGGAGACAGGGTGGTTTAATTCTTGAATCATACAACTGCATTCCTTTTGGTAACTTAAATTTTTGAGGTAGGCGGTGGAACCACTGAGCTAAACCCCCAGCCCTTAACTTAAATTTTTAAAAAGGAGAGAATCATCATCTTACTACTACAGCCAATGAACATTAGCAATTAAGATTATTTAATTTTTCCAGGGTTGAAGAGTTAGCTCAGTGGCACTTTGCCTGCCTTGCAAGCTCAAGGTCCTGAGTTCAATTCCTGGTACAAAAAAACAAAACAAAACAAAAAAACAAAGATTATTTAATTTTCCCATTCTAAAAAACACTCTTTTCACCATTTCCCTAATACTCCAGTTAGTACAAAGTTAGCCAGAGCCAAATTAGTTGTTTAGAAAATATTTATTGAGCATCTACTGTGTTCCACACTCTTGTAGGTACTGGATATATAGTAATAAACCACACAAAAATTCTTACATTTATAGAGCTTCTAGTCTACTGCAAAAAACAGGCTCTATATAATAAAAAACTGCAGTAGCCCACCTGGGCTACATAATAAGTTCAAAACCAGCTTGAACTACACAGTGAGACCCTGTCTCAAAAATCCAAAAACCCAATAAAAATATGTGTACATATAATAAAACACACACTACTGCACATAGGAGAAGTGCTAAAAGGACTTGGGCTCAATCCCAAGCACACACAAAAAGTAAAATAAATAAATGAATGAATGAGTGAATGAATGTGTAAAATATCAAGGACTCAGGAGGCCTCACTCAGGTGGTACTGGGTCAGCACTGGAAGGACTGGAAATCAGGAGATAACTGTAGATCATTTAGGAAGAACATTCTAAGGGGTTGCCAGCTTGTTCAGAGAACCTATAAAAAGCCTGTGAAGCTGGAATAAGAACAATGGAAAAGCCAGGCATGGTGGCACGCTCTAATAATCCTGGATACTTTGGAGGTTGAAGCAGGTGAATGCCAGGCTCTAGTCTAGCCTGAGCAACATAATGAGACCTTATCTTAAGATCGTTAAAAAAATAATAATAATAAAAAAATAAGATCTGAGAATGTAGTTCAATGATATAGCACTTGGCTGTCATGTGTAAAGCCCTGTATTCAATCCCCAGTACCCCCCCCACCAAACAAACAAAGATTTGGGGGTCAGTAATATACGGTTAAACAGCAATGAGCCTAGGTCATTTAGAGACTTATGTGTCATGGTCTAGAGCTTGGTTTTGCTCCAACTGAGACTGGCATCAATGGAAGGCTCTGAATAGTGCAGTGACAGAAATCTAAACTTTCTTTTAAAAGTACCACTCTAGCTGCTGTGTTGAGAATGTAGCAGTACACAAGGGCAAAAGCAGGGAAACCAGTGTGGTTGGCAGCTTGTAAAATAGCACCAATAATCCCCATCTCCTGGTAGTCAAGAGTTCGTATAATTCTCTCCCCTTGATTACAGACTAGATTTAGGGATTCACAACCAGCTGGGAAGTTAGTTCAACAATCCAAGCAACAAGCAATAATGGCCTAGATCCAGGTGTTAACTATGGATGTGGTGAGGAGTGGTGGATTGTGGGTATATTTTAAAGGTAGGGTCAACATTTGCCACCATGCGAGAGAGACTATAAGAAGGGCAGAGAGAACAGAAATGAATCTGAGGTTTTTTTATCTGAATAAGTGAAAAACTGGAATTGCTATTTATAAAGATGGGAACCTCTGTGAGAAAAGAGGGTAGATTGAGCAGGAGTTGCTATCATGACTCAATTCTGGACATATGTAGCTTGAAATGCCTATGAGATGTCCAAGGGAACTACGTAAATAAGTGTGGGGTTCAGAGTTTGATTTAAATTTGAGAATCTTCAGGATGTAGATAGTGTTTGAAGCACAAGTTTAAAATCAATGGGGCACCGAGTAAGACAGAAAAGAGGTCAAAGACCGAGCCCAAGGAAAGTCAAACATGCAGAGGTCAGAAAGTCTGAGGAAAACTCAGCACAGGAAGCTAAAGAGAATAGCCAGGAACACTGGAAGGAAATACAGGCAAATGCGGCACCGTGAATTCAAGCTGAGTGAAGAAAGTGTTTCACGGGGACATAGTGATCAACTGGGCCAGAATGTTACTAGCCAAGAAGATAAGCATTCTTTGATTTCACATTTTTATTTCCGTTTTATCTCTTGCAAGTAAACTACCTCAATTTCTTGAGTAAAGTCAAGGGCATCTTCTCCTGACGCTAGCAGTGTGTGCAGAATCCGCTGTTTCACTTGCTCCCACTCGACCAGCATTGACTCTCGATGATATTCCTCAGCCATGCCAAAGGTCTGCAGGGGGAGCAAAGAGCCATGATCCACAGGAAAACTCAAGAATGTGATTTTCGTGAAAGCCTAAAACAAATGCAAAGCACCCCTCCCAACATACCACTTCTCTATAAGTAAAACAACAGTAATCTTTTTCTTGTGGGGGGTATTGGGGAACAAACTCAAGACGCTGAACTTGCAAAGCAGGTGCAGTGCCACTGAGCTAAGTCCCCTGCCCAGCAGCAATCTATTTTTATTTATTTATTTTTTGGTATTGGTGATCGAACTCAGGACCTTGTGCTTTCGAGGAAGGTAGTGGAATCACTGAGCAAAATTCCCGGCAGTAATTTATTTTTAAAATGATCCTTTAAAGAATTTACTGACAACTGGTAGCAACATACCTACTATTTCATTGATTCTAACACATTTAAGGACTTTTTAATTGTGGTAAAATACACACAAAAATTATCATTTTATTTTAAAAAATATTTTATTTTAATTTTTAATGTAAGTAGATACTAAAGAAAATATAAAAGCTGTTCTATGAGAAAATAATTTCTCATAACAAAAATTATTAGAAAATAACAATGGCAAATACACTATGTATCATGATCTTAAAAGAATATATTTTCATTTTTTTTTTTTTTTTAAAGATTGTAATACCACCATTCATTGGAGAAGGGGAAAAAAAGAAAAACTAATGTGACAGGAAAGGGGATAGACAGCTTATTACCAGTAACATTCTTTCTCTTTTAAATCAGTAAAAGGAAAACAATATTATATGAGACAGATTCACAAGATAAGTAGTACTCAAGAAATATTTTCATTTGTTAATCTCTCAACTCGTTTCCTAATAATACTGTATCTTTTTTGCATAAAACATTTTATTATTAACAAAGTATCTCACACTTGGTATTATTCTGAACAATTTCTTCCTATTTCACAATATCTGCTATTCTTTTTGGTCCTTATTTATTTATACTTTTAGTTTCTCACACCAAAGACAATGTGATATTTATTTCAATTAATTTACTTAAAAGTATGGTTTCAAGGTACAACCATTTACCTAAAAATGTCTTGTTTATTCTTCTTTATGGCTGAATAGTACTCCATTATACCATACCCTTTTAATCCACTCATCAGTTGATGGGCAATTGGGTTAGCTATTACAAACGTGCACTCACATATCACTGTGGTATGATGCTTTTAATTCTTTTGGGAAGATACCCAGCAGGGGTATAGCTGGGTCAAATGGGACTTCAAATCCTAGTTCTTTGAGGAATCTCCACACTAATTTCCACAGGGGTTGTACCAATCTACACTCCCGCCAACAGTAGAGAAGGGTTCCTTTTTCCCCACAGCCCACCAGCATTTGTTGTTGATTTCTTGATAATAGCCATTCTTTGTGGAGATAGATTCTTAGCATTGCTTTAACTGGCATCTCTTGAATGACCAGTGATGCTGAATTATCTTTTCATGTATTTACTTGCCATTTCTACTGCTTCATCTGAGAAGAGGGTGTTCATCTCAGATGCCTATTTTTGGACTGGGTCTTTAAATTTGAGTGGACTGATTTTTTTTTTTCAATCCTTTATATGTTCTACATACTAGTACTTTGAGGAATCACAGGCTGAACGTTTTTCCCATTCTATAGGTTGTCTTTTCACTCTGTTGGTGATTTCTTTTGCTGTGCAAAAGCTTTTCAATAAGATGAGGTCTCGGTTGTTGATTCTTTGTAGTATTTCTCGTGCAGTCTAGTTTTTGTTTTTATGGTTATTTTTTGGTACCAGGGATCAAACTCAGGATCTTGTGTTTGTGAGTCAGGCAGCAGCACCACTGAGCTAAATCCCTAGCCCTGGTCTGGGTTTTGTTCATGAAGTCTTTGACTATCCTGTGTCCTTAAGCATTCTATCTATTCTCTCTTCCAGCAGATTTAGGGTTTCTGTTTTAATATTTAGATATTTGACCCATTTTTAGTTTAGTGCATGGTGAGATACATGGATCTAATTTTAATCTTCAGCATGTAGAAAGCCGGTTTTTCCAGCACCATTTATTAAAGAGGTCATCATTCTTCTCGTGCACACATTTTACCCCTCTGTCAAAGAAGGTGGCTGGGGGTGTTTGGGATCTTTTCTGCATCTTCTAATCTGTTCCACTGATCTTTCAGGTCAGTTTTTTGTCAGTACCATGCTGATGTTATCCTAAAAGCTCTGTAGTATAATTTCAAGTCAGGGACTGTGATGCCTCCTGCCTTAGCTTTGTTGCCCATAACTGTTTTTGCTATTCTAGGTCTTCTGATTCCAAATGAATTTTAGCAATGATTTCACTAGTTCTATGAGGTTTGCTAATGGAATTTTGATTGGGATTGCGTTAAATCTGTATAACAGTTTTGGGAGTATGGCCATTTTCACTATGTTGGTTCTTCCTACCCACAAGCAATGGATATCTTTCCATTCTGAGATAGCCTCTTCAATCTCCTTTTTCAGAGTACTGTAATTTTCAATGTGAAGATCTTTTACTTCCTTTGTGAGATTGATTCCTAAGTATCTCATTTAAAATTGTCATTTTAAAATGTACAATTCAGTAACATTAAGTAGGTTCGTTCTTTTGGGTAGTCCTCTAAACTACCACTCATCTCCAGAACTTTTTTCATCTTGCAAAATTGAAACTGTACCCATTACACTACAACTCTCCATTTTTCTCTCTCTTCCCAGCCCTGGCAATCACCATTCTACGTCCTGTCCCTGAATTTGACTACTCATCTTTGTAAATGTAATCATACAGTTTTGTCTTTTTGTGACTAGTTTATTCATTCAGCATAATGTCCTCAAGATTCATACATATTGTAACATGTCAGGTTCAACTTCCTTTTGTAAATAATGCTGCTATGAACAGGGGTGCACAAATTTCTCTTCAAGTCCCTGCTTTAACTCTTCTGGCTATACACTTAGAGGCAGTATTGGGATCGTGTGGCAATCCCATTTTTAATTTTTTGAGGAATCTATGTGTTGTATCCATTAGAGGTATACCAGTTTATAGTCTTACCAGCAGTGCACAAATGTTCTAATTTATCTACATCCTCACTAATACTTAGTATTTTGTGTTTTTCCCTCCTTATAAGAATCTGTGGTTTTGATTTGCATGAGTATCTCTCCATGTGCTTACTAAGACAAACATCTTTTTTAAAACTGTTGAAATTAGGCTATATTTTAGAATTGATTGCATGTCCTAGGATTATTTTTTTCCTTGGAGTACATAAAATAATTATGAATTATAAGATCAGTAGTATCTTAGGATTTAACAAGCATCTAAGATAAAAGATTTCATGATTTTTTAAATTTTAATTTTAATTTTTTAAGAAACACTAATATTTTCATAGCAGGAGGCAAACTGGTAAAAGAAAGATAGCCTTCTGGGAGTAAGCTGCTTCTTTTCAAAGTCAATGCAAAGTCTAGCAGATTTTGCTGTCTACTGGTGACAGTGCTGGTAGCTGCCAAAACAAAGGCACTCAGAACAAAAAGACAAAGGAGAAAGGGAAGGACTTAGGGTGGAACAGCAGGAAGGGAAGGAAAAAGAAAGGGAGAAAGGAGAGAAGGACTAATGCAGACAAAACCCTTGCAGAAGGAATTTAAAACAACCCATGGAGACACTATGAGTCATGAAAATTCTCAGCCCATTATTCTTCAATGGGCAGACCAGGTTTTCTATCAGCTTAACCTCACTTTTCAAAAACCCATTTCATTTTCTGATCAGATCGGCATCTAATTAGGCAGAACCAAGAAAGTACTGTATTGGGAATGTCTGCTATATTTTTGGCAATGCAGATAATTTATACTGACAATACCCGAGCTTTGAGGAACTGTTAGAAAAGTCAAATATACTTTTTCTACAAATGGGATGCTTGTATTTTGATTAATATTTACTAAAATGTGAAAAGGGGACACCAGACACACAAAGGCACACACGAGGTGATTAGGAAGAAGGCTCTTGCAGTACTCTTTTCTTTTTTCTTTTTTGGTACAGGGGATCGAACTCAGGACCCTGCACTTGCGAGGCAGGTGGCAGAACCACTGAGGTAAATTCCCAGCTTTTGCAGTACCCTTTTCTAATATGTACTCTAAAGACACCAGAGAAATGACCCTCAATAGCTTTTTTTGGGGGGGTACCGGGGATCGAACTCAGGTCCTTGCGCTTGCAAGGCAGGTGGCAGAACCGCTGAGCTAAATCCCCAGCCCAACCTTCCCTAGCTTTAAAAACAGTCTTCCACCTGGTTTTATTCTTTTTACTGAAAATTAAGTAGAATACATCATTCTAATCAGTGAGTATGAGTTGAAAAACACTCAGCAAAATCTCTGCATCTTTTCAGACATGAACTTAAACGTGAAAGCTAAGTGTTTTGAGGATCAGACAGAGAAGCGGGCAGGGGTAATTTCCCTAAAAGTTATCCAGAAAGAGCACATAACTGAACCACAAGGTACTCTAAAACTCTTCTTCAAGCTCTTCAACTTGGGACAATGGAAGGCCATGAGCAAAGAGGACCCAGGTAAATAGAAATGAGATAGAGGAAGGGGCATTTAATACAGCTTTCTGAGCGAGGCAATAAGAAGTAAGGCGCAGATGAAGCTGTGGACACTACAAAATGTCACAAGAGTTTTTCTTAAGGACAAGACCAGTGGCTAACAAAGAATGGCAGAAAAACTGTGGGTGAAGCTGGTGGGGGCAGACTTTCAGCATCAGGCAAGAGTCAGAATGACAACAGGGAGAATTAACTACCTCATTTATTAGGCTGCCAACCTTGTGCCCAGAACTCCTCCCTAGTACTTTAGAGCACTAAGCATTGAAAAATGGATGCTTCCTGGGATGAAGTTCTCAGATATATACCGAAGTACACCAGGCCACTCGTCAAGAAACAAACCCACAACATAATTGAACAGCATTGTGATTCCATTCATCATTAGTGTGAGATGCTTCAAATAAAAATAAATGAACCAACACCAAAATTCTCTTCCCTTGGCCACACTACCCCATCAAGCTTATCTCAGTTATATTAGAGATAATGGAACATCTAATTTATGGGCTAAACAGGGATTATCAGTCACCTCTCTGGCCAATTCCTGTCTATTCCATTTATACTCATGTCTGAACGACTAGATTAGGTGTAAAGAATGTTAACAAAAGGAGCTCATGAGAGAGAATCAAAAGAGCTCCTCAACCAAGAACTAAGAGGGGAGTGAGGTTCTGAGGTGAAGTAAGAGACAGAGACCAGTAGGGACAAGAAGGAAAGAAATCCAAGGGAAGACAAAAGGGGTAAAAAGAAAGGGTTGTGTTAAAAAGGAATGCCAAACAAACCACAGAAAATGACAAAGTAGTAAAGAAATTATTATAAATTAAATCTCAATTTTTCAAGTTACTGCACATGTGGAAAATATTTCCCTTTGAAGGCAAGAAGAGAACTGGGCAACTGAATTAAGAACAGGTGGGGAGCACTCAGAATCCATTTTTATAAAAGGAAGAGGGCAATATGCTTTGACTTCATATCCATTTATTATTGAGCTGTTGCTGCCTTTTAGAAACACTGCATATGTTCTGATAATGTTGTTCTGTTTTTGCTGGGATGCACCAAACAGGAAAAGATAGGACACATTTGTGGTTTTGTAGCTTGTTTTCTTGGCAATTCAGCAGGACATTGGCAAGTTATTCACACATGAAATTGCCACAAAAACGCCAGGAAGCTGCTGATTTTCCAATCATTTTATGAAAATAATTCTTGTTCAGCAGCAGTCTCCTGTTGTCCAGACAGGTCAGAGGTCTCCCTCTAGGAGGGCTCCTGACATCAGAACACCTCCCTCACAAACACATATGCACACATTTTGCACTGTGGTATGTCACCTAAATGTTTTGGCTGGCTGCACATTTAGTCTCAGTATGGCACAATGTTCAGAGACTGCCAATTCCAGAAACACATTCTGCAGGGTAATGGATTAATAAGGCTTGGTGGTATTCAATCCTAATTTAATTTCATTGGTCCTTTACAGCAGGAGAATCAATGTTGGTGAGTAACTCCACAGTGTGGAAAAAAAAAATCCCTTTTTTAATATTTTCCAATCTGTATCAAGTAAGTTTTTCTATTTCTAGGACTAAATACTATTGCCAACAATCAAATTAACGAAATTTTAGGGAATTTTATTCTGACAATTAAACATATCACTCATTTAAATAATGCCCTGGGAAACATTTTCTTGTAATCTAGAGCTGCCAGGCCCCTCGGCAGCCCTGTCTCACCTCAGTCCTGTTGAGATACTTTCACCCTCACAGAATATATTAATAAAGCACACTGCAAAGCAGCATTTTCCACTTTATTATTTTTTAAGCCACACAAATAATACATACATATATTTCACGTGCTATCAAAGTCAAATAAATAAACAGCAAAGGACAGCTCTCCCTTTGCCTGCCGTCCTTCAGCAGAAGCCGTCTACTACGAACTGGCATGTACCTTCTCGGGGAAGAAGCTCCCTCAGAGCCAACCTCACTCACCCCTTCTCCTCCCTCCCCAGACTCCTGTGGCCTGAAAACCTCATACTCTGTAATGGGATATTTTGGAAAGGTTTTGATCTTTGTCAGAAACAAACAGAGATAACTCACACATTAGTAAAATAAGTGATCATGGAGTATCTTATTGGAATGCTTTTGAAAAATACTGCCAACATACACTGACTGCTCTGGCTGGCTTATTTACCATAATTCTGAGCAACAAGTTATTTCATTTTTAAGATCTTGGAGGAAATGTTAAGATCAAAGTGGCACAGTTGCGTGTTAAAAAGAAAGAAGGGAGAAATTATCAATGATCACAACTGCTCTTCTGAACTACTGATTAATTTAATAATGTCCAGTATCTCGGATACTTTTCAGTCACTAAAAGGTATGACAGTGTTCTCAAAAAACAGGTCCTATGGAACTCCTTCTGAACTACTCACTACACAGGAGAGCTGTGTCTGACAGACCCCCACTTTGAGGGGGTACACACCTGGTATACACTGCGGCCCTATGACTTTATACTACTGTGATTTTTCTTACCCTCTTCCGAGACTCTTCAATGGCAGACAGCAGAGCATTGTCCTTCTCATTCTTCAGGAAGCCCTACGAAAAGCCAGAAATGATACAACTTAGGTTAAAATTAATCTTTATACACAACCATAAGTATACTGTAGGACAAAAGAACCATAAAGATATCTGCTATCCTGTCCACTTTCACCCCACAAAATGCTATCAACTTGAAAACATCAAACATGTTTCCTAGTTTCTTTCATTCTGGGAACACATAATGATAGTTAGAAGGCAACATTCCCATGAGACTGAAGTAGTCCTATGCCCTGTAAACACATAGAAAATGAGCAGACTGGCCTTCAGAATTCCTAAACAGCTGATAATAGAGACATGGCCTTCTTTGTCTATGTAGCCAGTTACAATTTCAGTGACTGTTCAGGGACTGTTGCTTCAATTTCTTCCTAATGTTGCGGGAACCATCACTGCCCATTTGTCTTCTTGCTTTTCACTTCCTTGCCAATGGCTGAGAAATCCTAAGAAGCATTTATCTATACACTTCTTTTAGGGTTTTGCCATGTAGGCATCCTATCCTATGATTACATCCATAGCTTCTTTAATATTGGTGAGGTGAAGAAGAGAGTATACAAGTCTAATTTAACACGCACTGGATATAAATGCCTAAAAAATAAAAAAAATGTAACTACACAATACTACAATGGCCAAGAGGACGTTATGAAATACGAGTTTCAAATTCCAGTGCCTCCATTAATTAATGGCAGGACTTTAACAAGTCACTCAAATTTTCTAAACTCCAATTTGTTCCTGCCTAATAATGAGATAATGTAAACAAGTTCTTAGCTCAATGATCAATATACACAGTTCTGTTATTAGAACCGGTTAGGTCTAGATCTATTGGTGACATTGAAGAAAGAAATGCACAGGGTGCCTTTCCTGTTGCCATCTTTGTCCTCATTTGCCTGAGCTGACGTCTGTTAGGAAAGGGGACAGGACACTATCACAACGGCCACAGCTGCAGGCAGGCAGAGGGACAAAAAAGTAAATGGTCTTCTAGGCCAACATTTTCACACACAAAAGAGAAGCTTCTTTTCCACATTTTGGGATATAGGGGCCAAATAGGAGCAAGGAAATTGACCCATCAGCTGAGATCAAAGACTTCAGCTGCAACACAAATACAAGTTACCTTACATATCAGATCCACTTGTGAGGAAAGGTACACATGTGTCAAGTACATTATTGGTATATTCATACATGTCTGAAATAACCTATTTATTCAGAATCATTATTTTATTTTTTGTAAACAAAACAAAACAGGAACTTTTGGGAAATATAATACAAAGTAGAATTAAGCAAAAGTTTTTAGAAAATAAACTAAAACACATTTGACAACTTTCTTGTATTTGAAACTCATAGTTAGTTTTTGATTACTTACATTTTAGTCTACTCTTTCAAACAGTCCTAGATATAAGGTTACTGGATCTTTTTTAAAAAATGGAGGTGGGGCCGACAGAAAATATAATTTAAATAGAACATCATTACTCTTCATAGATTCCCTGGGTCTTTATGTATTGGCCCATGTTTCTCCTATACCTGCTTTATCCTACCCCAAAATTGGACAGTGGCCAACATCCAGAAAACAGTCCTCTCATGAAGACTACTGCAGGGCAGTTCTCAGAATAGAACATGAAGATTGCTTCAAGTATCTGTATTAATAATGTCTACAGGACGAAATTTCAAGAAATGGTTAAGAACTTTTTAAAAAGGAAGGAAAAAAAGTCATTATTGCTTCAGGGCAGATTACTCTTGGGAGGAAGTAAGGACAGGTAGGTTACTCTTGTCTTAATACCGAAACTCACAGATGCTCAGGTCCCTAATATAAAATGGGAGTGTTTGCATATAACCTCTCCATATGTCAATCTCTAGATTACTTGTAATAACTAATACAATGTAAATACCATGCAACTAGTTGTCATGCTGCATTATTTAGGCAGTGTATTTAGTACAGATGCAATTTTTTCCTCCAATATTTTTGTGCATTTGGCTGAATCCACACATGTGTCAACTGTACATAAATTCCACATTTTTATTTCCATTTTGTTATTCCTTTCTGGAATGTTAAAGTAGGATTACAAATCATATTCTTTAAAAATAACATACCTGTGACCTATGAAGAATCTTTAAAATGATGGTATATAGAGTAGTGCTGGGATCTGTGTGCCACCTGGTGGTGGTTAGCTTGTTACAGAATATAAAAGGAGTGATCAAAATATATGGTGAAGGTTTAAATTTTAAAAATAAACTTATGCCGGGTGTGGTGGTGCACACCTGTAATCCCAGCACTTAGGAGGCTGAGGCAGGAGGATCGCTGTAAGTTCAAGACCAGCCTGGGCTACAAAGTGAGTTCCAGAGCAGTCTGAACTACGTAGTGAGACCCTGTCACAAAAAAACCAAAATAAATAAACTTATTACAATAAAAGACATATTGCCATTAGTCCCCCTCAGTTTGAACACACTTATCCCATTGTTCTTGACACTTCCTGAAGCAGTTCTGGAAGCCCTTTTTTGTGTCTTTATGAGGTATAACAGAAAAATATGGCGAATGCTACTACTGAGTAACATCCAATGGAAAGGTAGGCTCATAAAAAATTATAGTATGTCCTCATTTACCTTATCAAATCTGGCACAATGTAACTTCTGATGCTTCCCAAAAGTTAAAAATTACAATGAAAGGTCAGCAGTTTGAAATAATTCAGAACAGAGGCAGCTAAACAAAACAACTAAAGACACCTCAAGAAAAGACACCCTCATACACCTCAAGGAAAAATTACTGCTGGCTGGAATTAAAGAGTTAAAACAAAAACAAAAACAAAAACAAAAAAAACGGCCGGGCATGGTGGCGCACGCCTGTAATCTCAGCACTTGGGAGGCTGAGACAGGAGGATTGCTGTGAGTTCGAGACCATCCTGGGCTACATAAAAGTGAGTTCCAGGTCAGTCTCAACTACATAATGGACCCGGTCTCAAAAAAAAAAAAAAAAAAAAAAAAAAAAAAAAAAAAAATGCCTCAGTTATCTGTGAGGCACCTCTCATGCTCTCAACCTAGAGATGTATTTTTATGCCTCACCTGAAAATGAGTCTCAGGAGCAATGGGCTAGGGTGTGAGCAGTGAACTAGCTCCCTGCCTCTGTGAAGTCCCCTTAGCATACAAAAGCCTGACAGCTCAATTCCCACTGAGACATACCAGCTTCTGAGACTATGGGCCTCAGAGATCCCCATTACTGGTATCCCCTCATCTTCTCATAAGTGTTTTTTAATTGTCTTTAGTCCCTGACTGAACCCCCCCCCCCGTTCTACAGTTGGCCCACACAATAAAGAACATCTTACCTACGCTTGCCAGGTAAGATGACTACACCCAATTTCCCCAATCTCTCTATACTGCTCCTTACTGCCAGAGTCTTGAAACAGACTTCTCTTCTAACCTGCTGCTTGAATACGTTTGGGTTTCCCTTTCTCTAACACAAGATAGCTCCACTCAGGAAGCAATTAAGAACTGGACACTTCTCTAGGCAATTCAAAGACATGACTGCTAATCATTTAACAAGATGAAAGTACAGACAGGATCATCCTACTCCCCCTTCCCCGTTTTGCAGATAAAAAAAAAGATTTTAATGCTTAACTAATTTGATGAAGGATTCTGGATCAGGAAGAATTCAGATATAATTCTGACTCTCCATACCAACTATTTGAAGAACTGCAAACCTGGAAGTGGTTAAATAAAATAAATCTTTCCTCCTCTAAAAGGATAAAGATCTGGAGAAGGGCAGAATATCTTTAAATTTGTTTTCTTGACTAGGCAGCAATTCTCCTTTACAAAGATGAAATAGGAGCTTGGAGAATAATTCTTATGGTAGTACAGACTGAGTATCCTTTGTTTGAAATTCTTAGGACAAGAAGTGTTTTTGGTTTTGTTTTCTTTTTTCAGACTTTGGAATGTTTATATAAACATGATGAGACATCTTAGGGGTAGTAAACACATCTAAACATGAAATTCATATGTTTCACATATACCTTATACACACAACATGATGGTAATTTCATTTTCAGTATGCCTATGTTTTGACTGCAACCTATCACATAAAGTCGGGCATGTCATTTTCCGCTTGGGGCATCATGTCAGAGCTCACAAAGTTTCACATTTTGAGGCAGCTTAAATTTTAGAATTTTGGGTTTAAGGATGATGTACTAATAATAGCTAATACTTACATGGCAATTACTCTGTGCCAAGCTTAAGTGTGTTACATCTGGTTGTAGTCTTCTCTTTTAACTCAAGGATAAACTCTCAACACTGTTTAACTTAGATTATACTTTGTAACTTCAATAAAGTTCAACCGTTAAGCAAGCTGTATGATATGGTTTCTAGAAATTTTACCAGTTCTAAAATGCTCTGGGGTTCTACATTAAAATGACTTAAAAAAGAATAAAATTAGTTTGAATTATCCTAACTTAAAAAAAAAATAAAATGACTTAGTTCATAGGCAGCACAGCTGACTTAGAAACCAAAATTTCTGGCCCTTTTTATCCTCTTCCACTCTACCATGCTTTCTCTCATCAAAGCACACCAAGGTAGAAAAATGGGCATTTCATGCTTGTATTTTTATTTCTTTACAACCCGCCCACACACACATCATGAGGGATGAGACAACAAATGTCAAGGTTCTGGCATTCCATTAGAGCAGTGGTTTTCAAACTATGAGTCAGAATCCATAACTGAGTCATGAGACCAAACTGCATTTTTAAAATAAAACAAAAATGCAACACTGATACATGGTATAGGTTAAGTACTGTTTTATGAAACATTTGTTTCAAATATATATATATATATTTATGGGTGGGTGTATGGAGTGGATCATAATGTTAACATTTCTTACTATGGGTCACAGTCCAGAAAGATTGAAATCACTGCTCCAGAGGTCAATTCTGTATCGTTCCAAAAAAAAAAAAAAAATTTTTTTTTTTTTTTTTTTTTTTTTTGTTTT